AACCCACAAGGAAAACCATCATCATGAATTCCGAATCCAAAATACACAAGAAAGCTTTCCCAATCTCCTGCAGCAATTTCCCGATGTGACACCGACTCTCTCTGAGGCGAGATTTATGCACAAACAACTAGTAGAAGTCCCCTGTACTATGCGAACTATGCCATGGAAACAGACGAGTATAATATAGTATTAATGACTGCTTTGAGAGAAATAGTTGTTTTATTACGCTCAAGGGAAGGTTAGAATTGTGCTATTCCCCGAGGCTTGCCGAGGGGAATAGCCCAATTGTAACCTTCCCGAGAGCGTATGAAAACAACTATTTCTCGAATATTAAAGCAGTCATTAATACTTTTATATGCCAAAAAAAAATAGACTAAAAAATGAAAAATTAAAAATATTTATCATTTTTGTCGAAGACGGGATTCGAACTCTTGCGTACAACAAGAGGTGTACCGAAAACCAACGCTTAGACCACTCGGCTATGGCCCGCCGTTAACATGCTTGGCAGTTTTCTCCAATATATACATTAAAATGGATTGAAACCGGCTTCGCGTGTGATGAATGCTTCGCAAAAGCTCCATATACGGACTCTTCTTTTACTTTTGCAATGCATATTGGCACGAACTTAGATCAAGATCTATCGGCAGATGTTGTTTTTTTGTTTTTGGAAGTTTATTTTCGTCTTCATGTCAACAATGCAAGATAAAATTGTCGGTAAGATCGATCGAGATTCAATTGTATTGAAATTACCGACCAATCCTTCGCACACATACGGCATCCTCCATCGCTCAAACCATTTTTTAACATGTAAACCTATGGGGTAACCATGGAGGCTGACCAACTATTTTTAATAACCATGGTTATTAAAAATATTGAAATGTTTTAAGCATGGTTACCGAGAATTTTACAGGAACAGTTGAAGTTTATGAATGCAATTCGACCAATCAGATGGCTGGATTTCTTAAGTGAGGTATATAAATTATCTTTATGGAATGCCTTCTGTGGATAATGGTTGGTGGTTAATGATGATTTTCCATGTGCGACCCGACGTTAATTCCTGTGACAATTCTAAGGAAATTTTCGTCAAAGGTTTAATAGGATTAGGGTTATGAGTTCAATAACTTTTTAAGGGATTTAAGTCATGCATTATTCTTCTCTGTATGCCTTTTGATGAGATGATTTAACTAGTAAATTATACATTTTTAAATAAGTACTTATGAACTACCATTGACCCGAAATACGACCATTTATTATGAGACAGGTAAGGGTAGTTCAAAGTGATAAACCATTAGAACGAAGTTTAAAAGCAAAGGAACATAATAGACTGCATAGAAGAGAGAGAGAGAGAGAGAGAGGGGGGGGGGGAGAAAGAGAGAGAATGAGAGAGGGAGAAAGAGAGAGAATGAGAGAGGGAGAAAGAGAGAGAATGAGAGAGATTTTGAATCCTTCGTTCCGATTTGGGTTTGAAAGCTCCAGCATCTAAGCTATACCCTCAAGTTTATCAATCCACAGTATTGCTATATGGAGAGATGAAGTGTATTCCATATACCAGAACATTTCGCAATTTCCCGTTTTTCACTGATGTGGTAGTGCAATGTGAAAGTCGCCTGGCTTATATATTAAAGGCATATATTTGCGTGGTGAAATTGAAATAAGCGGGCAGATTGCAGTATGCAAATATTTCAGTATCAACACTGGTAGCCTATTAAAGAATAAAAGCTAGCACGAAGATGACAACAACAAAATAGACTGTGAAAGAGATCTTTTCATCTGAAAAATATTGCTCCATCATGAATAAATGCTAATATAAAATTGTAATACTCATGCAAAAAAAATATAATTAAAATCTAGAATGAAAAAGACATTTTGAGTACATGACTAGTCGAATAGCTGGTTGTTAGTCTATTTCTATGGGTGGATGGGCGGACGCGCGTGTGTGTATAATTTTCATTTCAAAGTGGAATATATTGTATATGTTGAATGGAATCGACTAAAGATTACGGAAAAAAGTGTATATATTTTATCCCTGAGTAAAGGGAAGTAAATACATTTTCATACCGTGATTTGGAAAACGGTTCTGCATGAATATAAACTGTGGCATTTATTAATTTAAAAAAATTAGGCAATTTGTAATTGCAATCCCAGAAAGATATAAAAACTTTGATATCTAAACTTGTAAGGAACCTATGAACAACACTTAAAGCTTCATGGATATCACGTTCATTCCTTCATTCAAAGTAGTATGATAACAACCAGTCAGGAGATATCGAGCCTGCAGCGCGTGATAGGATCAACCAGCGACCTGTAGTTACTGCACTCGATGATATTCCAACACGAAAAGAGCTAAACCTGGCAATTGCCTCCTTGGGTGATGGCAAGGCCCCCGGAGTGGATTGGGTACCAAGCGAGATATGGAAGCACGGAGGAGCCACACTAACCAACAGTTTACTAATGCTGATACAACAAGCATGGGCAGAAGGCTCCGTACCTCAGGAATGGAAGGATGCTAATATTGTCACCCTTTTTAAAACAAATAAAGGAGATAGAACTCAGTGTGGAAACTACAGAGAAATATCGCTATTGTCGATAGCAGGGAATTTTTTTGCCCATATCTTTCGGAACAGATTGAATGAAAAATAACAATAATAATAATAATTGTAAATTTATAATGCGCAGTTTCTATATGTATATACTCAACTGCGCATGACATAATGATAGTAAAAGGAACAATACAAATAAACATTTAAAAGTTAAAATCGATGCTAAGGGGGAACCTGTGTATGCTTTACAATGAAAATGTCTATGTAAAACTTTCCTGAAACAGATAGGTTTTCAGGTTATTTTTAAACACATTGATTGATGATGCATGTCTAATTGTGGCAGGGAGACTATTCCAGAGTTTGGGTGCAGTGCTAACAAAGGCGCGGTCACCTAGAGTAACCTTTGTTTTACAAGGTGGAAGACTCAGGAGCATGGTATCATGGGAACTACGGAGCCTGTAGGACTGGGTGGGTGATTTTAACGTCAGGAGTTCACTGAGATAAATGGGGGCCAAGCCATGGAGTGCCTTATAAGTAAGGAGGAGTATTTTGAATTTGATTCTCTGGCGAACTAGAAGCCAGTGCAGATCATGAAGTAGTGGGGTTACATGAGAGAATTTGGGGGAATTGCAGATGAGTTTGGCACATGCATTTTGTACACGTTGTAATTTACATATCTGAGATTCTGGTAAGCCAAACAGTAGTCCATTACAGTAGTCCAATTTGCTTGTTATAAAGGCATGGACTAATGTAATGATACATGTGCGAGTTAGGTATTTCCGAATGTGACGTAGGTTGTACAGATGATAGAAGGCTGCTTTGCATGTTTTGGATATATGGGTCTCCATGTTCAACTGAGAGTCAAACCAGACACCAAGGTTTTTTGCAACCATAGACTGCTCGACTACAGTATTTCCGACTGTTATACAATTTATATTAAGTTTTGACACTTGCCTAGGTGTTCCAATAATAAGAAATTCAGTTTTGCTGTCGTTGAGTTTCAACTTACAGCTTAACATCCACCTACGAAGATCCCTTAGACAGTGTTCAAGAGCTGAAACACAACAATGGATGTATTGCCAGAGATATAATGCGGATTCCGAAACAACCAGAGCCCATGAGACATGATCATGTGTATCGAGCAACACCAATTTTGCGATGTGGTCTTTGTGGATTTCACCAAAGCATTTGACACTGTTGGTAGGAAAGGTCTATGGCAACATCTCCGAAAGTATGGGTGCCTTGAGAAGTTCACCGGAATGATAGTATTGAATTGAATTTGAATTTGAATTGAATTTCTTTATTGTCATGCGCAAAATAAAATGAAGGTATAAAAATCGTTTTACAGCTCACATTTGTATAAATCTAACAATACATTAACATATCATAGACAGTAAGTACAAATAACATAAATAACATAACAATGTAATATAATTTTACCTCTCTGTTGAGAGCCAGGGGAATTATTTGATTATTTGTACTCCCCTGGCTCCCAACAGACAATACTAACTTAAATAAATAGCAGAAAATGTACATGACAACAATCAATGTCATATAACATATAAATATAACAAGTCACAGCAAAGATATAAAATCAATTATTCATCAATTGTTAAAAATTCCAGATAAAAACTGTTTATTTTGAGTAGCAGACATAAACTAAAAGTACATCATACTGGATGGCAAAGAGGAAAGACAAGAGAGAGAACGAGAGAGAGAGAGAGAAAGGGAGAGAGAAAGGGAGAAAGGGAAAGGGAAAGAGAGAGAGAGAGAGTAGAAGAGAGGAACAGTTCAGTGTGAGATGATGCATATACAATTTCATGCAAAACATTGCTTTGTAATAGACATTATTTATATTGCACATGTGCTTAGTACTGTTACATTTATGAAACACTGCTATGCATGCCAAGAAATACAAATACAACTGTATGCTAGTACATGTACAGTACATATAGATGGTAGTACAGTTGAAAGAAGAAAATTGATGCCAGATAGAAGAGGCTAGAAGAGAGACAAGAAGGAAAGAAGAAGAAGAAGAAGAAAGAAAAGTGGAGAAAAGGAAAGAGAGGGAAGAAAGGAAAAGGAGGAAAAGTGAAGTGTGAGATATTGAAAATATTGTTAAAATAAATTGAATTGAATTGATGAGTCCACATGTCACTTACACACTACCAACCACCCAACCATAACAGCAGGGAAGACCCCCTCCCCCTTGACCTTATACAAGCTGACCCATCTTCACCCCCTGTACTTCCAGGATATGAAGAGAGAGAGAGAGACAGACAGACAGAAAGAGAGAGAGAGAGAGAGAGAGAGAGCAGAAGAAGACAGTATAACTACACCCGGGTATGATGTATAAAGTAAAGGAAGCAGGCGAAATATCTGATAGCTTCCCTTTAAGTAACGGTGTAAGACAAGGATGTGTGTAATTGGCCCCTACGCTGTTTTCCATCTTCCTCTCAGCGATGCTGGAGGAGGCCTTTGCGCACTATGAGGAGGGTGTATCATCACGTCAAGGCGCCGACCTCTTCAATGACGCACTCTTCAAAGCTAAGACGAAGTGTACACATATTCTCGTGAGGAAACTCCTCTATGTAGATGACATTGCTCTTGCTGCTCATACGCAGATGCGCAGTTACATCATGGTATAGATGTATTTTCATCATCATTGTTTCAAGCTTAGTTCGATGGCATTTAATGTCAGACGACAAAGGATAGTACAGTCAGATTGGTATAGTAACGAGAGAGTGGCTTTTAATACTGATGGGGCCATCTGGCGCCCTCTTTTGATTGAAGCTTTACATGTGTTCTTCTAAAATCTCAGAAACAATATTGACACATCCTCCCCTCTTTGAGCTTTGTGCCGGAGAATGTCTCAATTTTGGAGGTCAATATCAACCTGGTACCAAAACAGATAAAAGATTAAAGAATATCAAAAGATTGGTTTATGAGATCTTTTACAATCATATAACTGCACAAAATAATATTTCAAAGCAAAAAATATCAGAGTCCTTTTGAGTTCTTGTGAGTCTTCATAGTGTCAGAAGATTTGGGATTGTGTTTAGAGTCCAGTTTCTTCAAATTTTAAAAAAAGTTCAAATGTCCAGAGTTAGATGAAGTGATGTCATTCACGTATCTCGCGAATGTTCTCTTTTTAAGTGTTCAAAATGTTACGAAATCTTTCATCTTATGCGGTTCTCGACGTTGTCTGTTTGAACGTCTCAGCGAGCTTGTGTTGTTCTCGTCAAGCGTCTCAGATGTACCATCACCGCGAAACTTCACAGGACTTGTAGTGGTAGATTGACGCTGCTCTGTAGTCCTCACCTTGGGTTGGTTGTTGTCCTGGCATTCCCAGTTAAACATGTTGGGAATAGGATCAAGTGTATCTGACGTGGATGAGGTCGCTCTGAGATGTTCTCTGTTTCTACGAAGTGTTTGACCATCACAGCGAACTTCATATGATCGATCGTCTATTTTCTTCAGGATCACCGCTTTCTTCCATTTCTTTCTATGGTTGAATGGTTTCACACGTACAGTTGCTCCAAGTGGAAGATCCTTGAGCTTCCTTGTATTTCTGTTGAAATACATCTCCTGTCGTCTCTGGTTTGAATTGAGTTTCTCGACATCAGGTCCTGAGTCACGATCAGGCATCAACAACTGAGTTGTGGTGGGTAGGAGTGTACGTGTTCGTCTACCCATGAACCTTTGCGCAGGACTGGTCTGGGTACCTTGAGTTGGTGTATTACGAACGTTGAGTAAGGCTAGATCAACGTTATCTCCAGTGTCCTTGCATTTGGTAAGCAGTCTTTTGGCAGTCTTAACAGCAGACTCTGCCTTGCCATTTGCCTTGCTGTTGTGAGGTGAGATGGTGTTATGCTTGATTCCCATCTCTTTGGCAAACTCAGCAAAGTCCCTTGAAGAGAAAGGAGGTCCATTGTCTGAGACAATGATCTCTGGCACTCCATAGCGTCCGATGTGACGTTTCAGTCGCTTGATAACTGCGGGGGCAGTCGTCCTCTGTAGCTTTTCTATCTCAAAGAAATTGGAGTAGTAACAGACCATAATGAGATAGTTCTCGTTATCATGATGGAAGAGATCGATTCCAATTCTTGACCATGGCCTGTCAGAGATAGGATGAGACATCAAAGGTTGGGCAGGTTGAGAGACTGAGTTTTCTTGACAGGTCTCGCATGTCTGGATCCACTCCTTTATCTCCTTGTTCATACCTGGCCAATAGACATATTCACGGGCTCTTCTCAAAGTTCCTTCGACTCCATTGTGGCCAATGTGTAACTCCTCCTTGATCTGTCGCCTCATCTGCTTAGGGATTACCAGCCGTTCTCCCTTGAAAATCAGATCATCAGTCACCGAAAGTTCATCTCTGAAACTGAAGTATGGAGTCAGTGACAAAGGAAGCTTTGTCTTGTTGTCTGGCCACCCATCAAGTATGGTGTCTTTGAGCTGGGAGAGAGTTGGATCTTGGGTAGTCTGTCTCTTTATCTCAGCTATCTTGTCATCAGGGAGAGACAAGAGTTTGACAGCATTCACCACCTCTAGATCATGCTGTCCGCTCTCATACGGAAGAGAAGCACGGCTTAGTGCATCAGCCAAGATGTTGTCCTTCCCTTGAAGGTATTTCACTTCAACATCATACGCCATGGCGCGTAGTAACATTCCTTGTAGGCGTTTGGGAGCTTTGTCCAGGGCCTTCTTCACAATGCACTCCAGTGGTTTGTGGTCACTATATACTGTTGTCTTACGACCAAAAGTGAACTGATTCCACTTTTCCAGTGCAAAGACTATTGCTAGCATCTCCTTCTCAATGACAGAGTATCTGGTCTCAGGATCACTCAGCATCCTACTGGCATATGCTATTGGTTGACCATCCTGTAGCATCACAGCACCTAACCCTGTAGCACTGGCATCAGTTTGGATTTGAAGTGGCTTGCTTTGGTTGTAGAACGCCAACACAGGAGCTTGTATCAGCATCTCTTTCAGCAACCTAAAGGCTTTGTCATGGTTGGAGTCCCAAGTCCACGCAGAGTTGTTGTGGGTTAAGTCATTGAGAGGCTTCATGACATCAGATAGTTTGGGCAGATACCTGGCCAAATAATTGACCATGCCACGTAAGCGATGGATGTCATCCTTGCAGGTTGGAGAACTCATGTTCAGGATTGCATCGATCTTGGATGGATCAGCTTTCAGTCCAGAGTTGGATACTATGTGGCCTAGGAACGAGATTTCCTTCAGTCGAAATTGGCATTTCTCCTTGTTCAACACTATGCCAACAGTTTGACATTTCTGTAGAAGACTCTGTAGTCGGGTATCATGCTCAGCATCACTGTTACCCCAGATTATGATGTCATCTGCCACACATCGTACCCCTTGAAGACCATCCAGTGCTAGATGAAGTCTCTTTTGGAAGATTTCGCTGCTAACCTTCAAGCCAAATGGTAGACGTTTCCATTTATACCTTCCCCATGGTGTTGCAAAGGTAGTTAGCAGACTTGAGTCGTCGTCAAGAACACAGTGCAAATATCCATCTTTGAGATCACAGATGGAGAAGACCGTTGCATTGGACAGTTGAGGCAGGATATCATCGAGAACAGGCAGAGGATAATGTTCTCTTTTCAGCACGAGATTGAGTGGTCTAGGGTCTAAGCACACACGCACTTTACCAGATTTCTTCTGTACAACAGCCATCTGGCTTACCCAGTCAGTTGGAGAACTTACTTCCTCAATCAGGTCTCTTGTCTGCAGTGCATCAAGTTCATCCTTCACAATACTTCTCAAGGATTCTGGTATCACTCTAGCAGGACGAACACTAGGGGTAGCATCATCCATAACAGTCAGATGAACATCGTTCCCCGGCAGAGTACCAGTCACAGAGGATGAGAAGACCACAGGATACTCTTTGTGAAGATTCTCAGGAGCTAGGTTGCAGACATTCTCAGGAAATATGTTGTGGACTATTTCCATAGATTCGTAGTGAACAGTGATAAGCTGCATCTTCTCAGAAGCTGTTTTGCTTAGCAGTGGAGTCAGATCCTCCTTAACTATGACATAGTCAATCCTGTACTTTTTTCCAGTAGCTGGATTCCTTGTCACGACTTTGCACTTTCCCACAGCACGTAGTAGCGGAGAGTGGTTCCACATCCGGAGATGGATGCATTCATTTCTCACTACATCTTCTTCAGACAGAAACTTCTGTGGGAGAACACTCACTGTTGCTCCAGAGTCCAACTGGAACTGTACTCTTCGACCATTTAGTAGCATGTTGCAAAAAATTGGTCCATCTTCAGGACTTACTGTATTTATCTGTACAACACTGATACTTTCAGTGGAGGAGTACTCATCATCTTCGAGTTGGTGAACACTCTTGGAAGTACACACTGCAGATCCCTTGAAGTGATTGGGCTTATGGCACACATTGCACTTTTGACCCCATGCAGGGCAGCATTCCTTTTTCATTTCGTGTGATTTATTACAGAACTTGCACTTTTTGAGCTCTTTCGGCTTCTGCTTTACAAACTTCTGCTTTCCACTTCCAGTTTTAGCATGTTTAGGGAAAGGTTTTCGATTCACCCTGTTGATTTCCTCACTTTTCAACGCCTTCATGTGAGTAGATGTCGCTTCAACTGCTTTACAAACATCAATGGCAGTAGAGAGGTCAAGATCAGATTTGGAGATGAGTAGTTCTCGCATACGATCATCACGTACTCCCAGTAGAACACGATCAACGAGCAATTTGTCATTCATGCAGTCACAGAATCCACACGTCTTACTCATTGTACGCAGAGCTGTCACATACTGTTCAATAGATTCACCATCTTCCTGACTGCGTTGATTGAACTTGAATCTTTCAAAGAATTCTCTGCTCTCACCAAGGAAATGTTTATCAAACTTATCCAGTATCACAGAGCATTTCACACTTTCAGCGGCATTAGCAAACTTCATGCCGTTGTAGACACGCAGACAATCTTGTCCCACACTGTGCAGTAGTAGTGCAGTTTGGTACCGATCTGGTTGTTTGGAGAGGTTTGTGAGAATAGTGTAGTTGTCCCATTGCTGTCTCCAGATTTTCCACCCTTCAACTAGACCTACATTTCCCGCAGCCGCATGGAAATGACCAGGGGGTTGGACAGAAGGCTTTACGAAATGGGCCCCTTGCAAATCACCCTCAGTACCCTCAGGAGACACAGTGTCAGGCATGTTGTACACCACAGCAAACAATGCCTTAAGCTGAGGCAAACCGAAATCAAGACTTGGACAACTGCTGCATGTCAGCGAGCTGAATGGAGAACAGCTGTAAAGAGAAAGTGAAGGTGGTCACTGTCGCTTCGCGACAGACAGCACTATTATGATGTGTGATATATATAAAATAAGGAATGAAATTAAATCTTTAAGGGAAATAACAGAGGATAATTAAGATATTTTTGAAATACATGATAAAATATTACATCTGGAATCTTCCGTTGATAATTATAGACACTGTTGGTCATAAAGGTGGAATAATTTTGTTAACCCCGATTTATGGAAAATTTTAACAATGATTTATTCCTACTAGATCTAGATAATAGTATACATTCTCAGATTTGATTGAATAATAATGTTTGAGTGTTTGTTTTGCGTGACTGCTAAAGCATGTGTATGTTACTATGCTAATCTATTTGTGGTCTGGCGATTTTTGGGTCTGGACACAGGATGGCGTTTTTCTATGCGTTTCACATTTTCACTTGACAGCCCAAGAGGGGGGGGGGGGGGGGTAACCCCCTAACCCCTGTTGATCCGCCACTGAGTAGGGAACCAAAATGAGCCTTTTGTCCTTGTCAAGAGTCAGAGTGGTCCTTAGAATTTGAAGTCCTGATCAAAATAAATAATAATAATAATAGGCATTTGTATAGCGCCGTCTATCTAGACAATATGCTATTCCGAGGCGCACAAGAAAAATAGAAAGAATGAGAAAGTTTGGACGAGAAAGTTCGGATGAGTGTCATAAACGTGAGCGAGGACTTCTTTTATCCTACCTGACACTTATTCATGAAAAGCTAATTACTCGATGACTGACATTGCATGGTCAGGGTTGGCTTAAAGTGATTCTATGTTGAATGCCTATATTTGCACTTGGCAATATTGTGGATTGCAATCTGATGAAAGGTTGAAAGACGTTAAAAGAATATTGCATTTTCCACTTTCCCTTCGTTATGAGGGCAGACAAGAATGTTATTAACAGTGACAGACAGGCGCAAACGCAGGGGGGGGGGGGGTCAAACCCCCCTCAATTTTGTAGGGTGTATTTTGGAGGATATCCCCCCTCCCTCAACTTTTTTAAAATTAAATAAAAAATAATCATAACTAAAACCCAATTGTGGTAATAGGTGATCTAAAAAAGTTGACCTTAATACCCCCCCCCCCAACCCCATTTTAAAACACCCCTTTCGAATAAATCCTGCATACGCGCCTGGTGACCGGTTTCCTGTTTGTACGGTCTGATCTTAATGAGGCAGAAAGTAATCATTCAATTTGATCGATCCAGAAGGACTATCAAGTTTGAGCTTTTTCATCATAGCGGTTGTACCGAAATTTTCAACGCTACTGACTTCAAAGCATTATGACACAGTGTTTAGATGGAGGCTTGCAGTCAGTACGCAATGTGTTTTAACCAATGTCGAGCAAACTGAGCATAGACAGAGTCAACTACGAGAGTCTATACATGCATGGAAGTAAATCCATTTAGTTCTTTCAGTAAGGTTTCTGTGGACCCACTGATGTCCATATTGATACTTTGGTAGATCTTGTCAAAAAGAAGCCTTATATCAACAATCAATCATGTCTGCGACAGAATCTGCAGCCGGTACTGAATCATGGGACCATATTCATCCGATCCCTGCAGCCTGGTTTCTTGTTGTATGCACAGTACTTTCTATTTCTTGCAACACCATCAACCTTACCGTTATACCTAGGCTGAATGATTTGGCAGATACTTCGAAAGTCTTTTATATCGCTCTCGCCATCTTTAATCTTATGGTCACGTTTATACATATCCTTATGATCAAACCTTCTATATCGGGTTACTGGATTTATGGTGAATTAGCTTGTAAAGCGATTGGAACCTGTGCGGGATTCGTGCTAGCCTTTTCATCAGCAACGGTGACACTGCTCAACATCGACAGGTTTATCTTAATAATCCGACCCCTTCGATATCCGTCAATTGTTACTCTACGACGTTGTGTTGCTGTCTTGGTAGCGACGTGTTGCAGCATGGTCATCATTGGCCTTCTCGAATTCGAATTCGCAGGACACTCCTTTGACATCGTTCGCTTTCGAGAATTTGGGGTGTGCATCATGGACTCAACCGATAAAGACTTCTTACCAATAGCCATTTTTAATTATACCATCTCGTTCTGGGCTCAAGCGGTTATCATCACGGTACTCTACTTGATCGTAATTCGAACTGCCTGGAAACACACCAACGATATGGCTCGACGTGAAGAAGCTGTATTCCAGATCCGAAAGTTCTACAATCGTATCAACCCGTCTGTATCTACGATTTCGTGTAAAGATCAGGTTATGGAAAACGATTACCAAATAGCAAAGCATACATTAGCAGCAAGGAAAAAGAAATTGAAATCGATAACTTTTGTAATTGCAATTACCGGTTCATATTTCATATGCTGGATTCCTTATACGATTTCGGAAATCGTGGAACCGATTTTCGGTCATCCAGTTTCACGTCAAGCTCAAGTGACTTTTGTATATATATTATCGTGTACAACCTGGTCCAACTCTGTGGTCTATTTCATCATCATTAAACAGTACAGACAAGAGGTTTTTAAAATGATGAACAGTTTGGTCATGAAATTAAGATAGAAGAGGAATTAAACCACTGAAAGGAAGAAACGCAATGTTCTAAAAACACCATTCGTATCATGGAGATTTTGCCAGCCTTCGGTAGTCTATATCACGATGTCAGGTTGTATCAATACCCAAGAGTGGACTTCACTTTACTGGAAGGCCTTACGTAATGTGCTTACCCTCCAGAAACATCTTCCACTCACTTCACAAGAACAACCCCAACCATCATCATGAATTCCGAATCAAAAAGACATGAGAAAGCTTTCCCAATCCCTTGCAGCAATTTCCCGATGGGACACCGACTCTCTCTGCGGCGAGATTTATGCTCAAACAACTAGTAGGCCTACTGCGTAGCAATTTAAAGAAGCCCTGTGAACTATGCGAACTATGACATGGAAACGGACGAGTATAAATTGTCTTTAAGGAACGCCTTCTGTGGATAATGGTTGGTCGATAATGATGATGTTCCTGGTGCGACGTTTATTCCTGTGACAATTGCTAGGGGAATTTTCGTCAAAGGTTTAATAGGATTAGGGTTAGGATTAAAATTCCATTTTAAAGAGCCATCTATTTCGTAATACATGTACAATTCTTCTCTTTGTGCTTTAGATGAGATGATGACTAGTAAATTAAACATTTTTGATTTAGTACTTATGAACTATTATATACCTCTCTTCAAAAATATAGCCATCTGAATAGTCGAAATTGGAGTCGTGAATTTAGCCATGCCCGCGTACCGGTCAATAGTTTTTTTAAAAGATACCCGTTGCCCCGGGTAAAGGCCGCATGAATAAATTTGGCTGAGAACCCCATTGGTTTACGTGTACAAAATTTCTTTGTGCGAGCGCGGAGACCACATACTGTGCAGTGTGTGTGCGATTCCCGAATGATCGTAACATTCAGCCTTTTTAAGGCAACTTTTCAGCGAAGATTTACAGACAGTGTCTCAGATTTTCTGTGATGTTTTAACCAGTCTTTACTCAAGAAAAGGATAAGGTAAGAATTCTTCGTAGATTTTGTTGTGAAGTCCGAATATAAAAGATATTCATCGATAGGGTGACAATACCTCGTATCTCAAAAATCAGGAATTTTCAGGAGAGCGAAAAAACATTTCATATGCAACAAAAGCATATAGGTGAAATAAAGACAAGGGGAAAGAGATGTCCGAACGGATGTGACAGACATAATATTGTGCCATTATTACACACCGTTGATTATTCCTTGGAAAAGAAAAATCCTCTATTGGAGGTATTATGATTCGAAACCTAAGACCTTTCGATTTTAAGTCGAACGCTCTACCAACTGAGCTATACCCCCTCGACATAATCATGAGGTTTATGAATCCATAATATTCCGAGGAGGATCGAAGGGTATTTTAAACGAGAACATTTTGCAATATCCTGTGTTTTTATGGTGACGCGATAGACAGTTCAGTAACAATTATCAGTTTGGGGGTTGAGGTTTACAAAGATGGCTAAGTCGGTTAGGGTGAGGACACTGGAGTGTGGCGATATGAGAAAAGGGAGATATTTATGACGTGTGGATTTATGATAGAGAGAGGGCGGAGAGAGAACGATAGGAGAGGAGAGAGAGGGAGAAGAAGGATAAGAGAGAGAGAGAGAGAGAGGAAGGGAGATAGAGAGGGAGATAGAGAGAGATGGATTTGGGGCGGTAGTGAAGGGATGGTGTAAAGGGGTTAGGAGGGTCATGGAGAAATATGGACGTTTGGAAAGGGAAATTTGCATTTCATTTTTCGAGAAATACTGGTGTCCCCACTCGTTTCAGTGCCGCCTCAAAGGTGAACACACGCCACGCCACAGCCTACCTAAATGAAACTTATCCTTACATCTACATTGAGTCAACGATAATACGGTTTTACTCTCTCTCTCTCTCCCCCTCTCTCTAATGAAAAAAGAAAGAAATATCCTTATATCCGGAGAAAGAAAAATGGACGAGATTGAAGAGGATTGACATGAAGAAAAAATCCCCTTGGAGGTACCGAGGATCGAACCCGGGACCAGTTCTGATTATAAGTCAGTTGCTCTGCCACTGAGCTACACCCCCATGAACATATTTTCGAAATCACTGAAGGGTTATACATGTTACAAACTACTCTACATATAGTGGTGGAATTTCTGATTATTATTGCAACCCCCCAAAAAAATATGCTAGGAAAATAAATTACGCATGCGTAAATAATTTTGGTTCTGCGGTGACACAATTTCTTATAATTTCACGGTTATGAATGTCTATAGCTTTAAAAAAAAACACCGAGCACGACATATATAATAGAATAAAACAAAGATTTGATTGAAAATGGTTCTTTTTTTGTTGTTTCCATTTAAATGTTCATCTAATTCCTAATGCATGTGTATAATACTTCTCTATATGCACTTTGATGAGACGATTTGACTGGTAAATTATAAATGTTTGAATTAGTACTTCTAAAATTATGAACTACCAATGGCCTGAGATACGACAAAGATTTATACGACAGGTAAGGGCAGTTCAAAGTGATAAACTAATGGAACTAATTTTAAAAGCAAAGGAACACAATAGACTGCATAGAAGAGAGAGAGAGAGAGAGAGAGAGATAGATAGAATTTGAATCCTTCCTTCCGATTTGGGTTTGAAGGCTCAAGCATCTAAGCTATACATCAAGTTTATCAATTCAAATTATTGCTATAGGAGAGACTAAGTTTATTCCATATACCAGAATATTTCGCAAGTTCCCGTTTTCCCATGTTCATCCGCTGATGTGGTAGTGCAATGTGGAAGTCGTCTGGCTTATGTAAGGCACATATTTGCGTCGTACAATTGAAATAAGAGGGACGATTGCAGTATGCAAGTATTTCAGTATCAACACTGGTACTTCTGGTAGCATATTAAAGAATATTAAAGACAACCTTCTTGTTTTGTAGCGTGGGGGGGGGGGGGGGGGGGGGAGGGTGTAGGATTACCTAAGCATTTGTATACATATATTTTCTTACTAAATTACAGAGCACTTGCAACTTTCTTTTATTATCAAGGGGTCTATAAAACATAAGCCATGCTTTTTTAATAGACTCCGCCACTATGTTTTACCATTGTGCCAATTAATTAAAACAATTGTATAATCATTTGTAAAATGTTTTGTCAATATTATGTTATCGAATTTGTATATATTTCATATTCATTTGATTGTGTTATATCATGTAGAAATAAAAAGAAATTTTGAAACCTTGAAACCTTGAATAAAAGGTAGCACGAAGATGATAACAACAAAAGGAACTGTGAACGGGTCGATCTTTTTATCCGAAAATATTGCTCTATTATTATGAATAAATGCAAAGATAACATCTCATTAGCTTAAAGATACTATGTCCCTTTTGCAGCCAACATCAAATTCTGTAGAACTTTGCAGGAATTATGAATATGTCATGTATGTCCTATCTGTGAAATTTAAACGTTAGCAGTGTCCTAATATTCAAATTATGCAAGGAAACGCGTTTACTTGCTAGACTTCACTGTCAACACTATTGAGTGAGTGACTGACTTGTTTTCATCTTTGGTAATAACATACATAAACTGAGCTGTAAAGGGTACATAAGCATTTGTCTACATCAATAACCCACTTCTTGTAATAACCGAAAATACACTGATGGAATCTTTGGGCAGCACCATTCGGTACAAACTTACTGGCTCTATAGCTCCTAAGTCGATTCGACAACTAAAAGTCGTTATTTTCCCACTTAAATTTTTTTTCAAGCCCCCCTTTTTTTATAGGGAAGTTCTAAATTAGTATTGTCTTTCAAATGCCGTTGGAATTTAACCTTTTTATTTTTTTGGCCTGCAAATGGGACATAGTACCTTTAATTGTAATACTCATGCCAAAAAAGTATAAGGAAATGAATAATCAAAAAGACTTTTTGAGTTCATGACTAGTCGAATAGTTGGATGTTAGTCTATTTTTATTTTACATCAGTGTGTGTGTGTGTGTGTGGGTTTGGATGTGCGCGTGTGAGTTGACGGGGTTTATGTGCGTGTGTGGAAGGGTGGAAGGGGCGGACGCGTGCTTGTGGATTATTCATACATCAAAGTGAAATATATAATTAATATTATGTAGAATGGAATGAAGATCAAGGAAAAAAAAGTGTGTATATTTTATCCCAGAGTAAAGGAAAGTGAATAAATATTCAAACCATGATTTGGAGAACGGTTCTTCAGGAATATAAATTGTTTGATTTATTAATTAAAAAAGAAATAGGCAATTGTAATTGCTAACCCAGAAAGATATAAAAACTATGATACCTTAACTTTTAAGGAACCTATAATCTATAAAATCTAAGCTTTATTGATATCACGTTCATTCCTACATTCAAAGTAGTATGATAATCTTTTAATAGGTCCAATATTGCTTAGCATGAACGTATTCGACAGGCTTAATATTTTATCTCATCACATTATGTTGTGTGACATATTAAATAAGGAATTAAATGAAAATTTTCAAGGAAAAAAAAAAGACGATAATTAAACTATTTTTGAAATTCATGATAAAACATTTTCTTGTCAAGAATCAGAGTGGTCCTTAGAATTCGAAGTCGTGTTCAAAAAAACATGCGAGCAAGGATTTCTTTTCTTCTACCTGACACCTATTCCTGAAAAGCTAATTAGTTTATAACTTTTAGGGGACTTACGAGGCGTGACTCGATAAGTGACATTGCATGATAAAGACCATCATCATTGGATTAAAGTGATTCTATGTTGATGCCTATATTTGCACTTGGCAATATTGTGGATTGCAATCTGATGGAAGGTTGAAAGACGTTAAAAGAATATTGCATGTTCCACTTTCCCTTTGTTATGAGGGCAGACAAGAATGCTATGAACAGTGACAGACAGGCGCGTACGCAGGGGGGGGGGGGGGAGGGGTCAACCCCCCTCAATTTTGTTGGGTGTATTTTTGGAGGATCCCCCCCCCCCTCAATTTTTTTTTAAATCAAATAAAAAAATTAATAAAAAAAAAACAATTGTGGTAATAGGTTATCTCAAAGAGTTGACCTTACCCCCCTTCCATTTTTAACCACCCCCCCCTTCGAATAAATCCTGCGTACGCGCCTGGTGACAGGTATCCCATTTTATACGCGGTCTGATATTTATGAGGCAGAAAGTAATCATTAAAACTGATCGATCCAGAATGACTATCATATTTGAGCTTTTTTTTATCATAGCGGTTGTACCGAAATTTTCACCGCTACTGACTTCAAAGCAATATGACACAGGGTCTAGATGGAGGCTTGCAGTCAGTACGCAATGTGTTTTAACCAATGTCGAGCAAACTGAGCATAGACAGAGTCAACTAAAAAATCCATTTAGTTCTTTAAGTAAGGTTTCTGTGGACCCTCTGATGTCCATATTGATGCATACTTTGGTAGATCTTGACAACAAGAAGACTTAAATAATCAACCAATCATGAACATGTCTGCGACAGAATCTGCAGCCGGTACCGAATCCTGGGAACATATTCATCCGATCCCAGCAGCTTGGTTTCTTGTTGTATGCACGGTACTTTCTATTTCTTGCAACACCATCAACCTTATCGTTATACCTAGGCTGAATGATTTGGCAGATACTTCGAAAGTCTTTTATATCGCTCTCGCCATCTTTGATCTTATGGGCACGTTTATGCTAATCTTTATGATCGAACCTTCTCTATCAGGGTACTGGTTTTATGGTGAAGTAGCTTGTAAAGCGATTGGATTCTTAGCGGTAATGGCGCAAGCCTTTTCATCAGCAACGGTGACACTGCTCAACATCGACAGGTTTATCCTAATTATCCGACCCCTTCGATATCCGTCCATTGTAACTCGACGACGTTGTGTTGCTGTGTTAGTATCGACGTGTTGCAGCTTCGTCATCATTGGTTTTTTCGAGTTCGAATTCGCAGGAGACTCCTTTGATATCGTCCGCTTTCAAGAATTCGGGATGTGCCTCATGGACTCAACTGATAAAGATTTCTTACCAATAACCATTTTTAATTATACCATCTCGTTCTGGGCTCAAGCGGTTATCATCACGGTACTCTACTTGATCGTAGTCCGAACTGCCTGGGGACACACGAAGGATATGGCTCGACGTGAAGAAGCTGTTTTCCGGATCCGAAAGTTCTCCAATCGTATCAACCCGTCTTTGCCTACAATTTCGCGTCAAGATCAAGTTAAGAAAAACGATTACCAAATAGCAATGCGGGCATTAGCAGCAAGGAAAAAGAAAATTCTCAAATCGATAACTTTTGTCATTGCAATTACCGGTTCATATTTCATTTGCTGGATTCCCTATACGATTTCGGAAATCGCAGAACCGATGTTTGGTCATCCGGTTTCACTTCAAGTTAAAGTGACTTTCTTATATATATTAGTGTGTACAACCTGGTCCAACTCTGTGGTCTATTTTATCATCATTAAACAGTACAGACAAGAGGTTTTTAAACTGCTGAAAAATTTGGTCTTGAAATTCAAATAAAAGAGGGGTTAAACCACTGAAAGGAAGAAACCTGATGTTCTTAAACATCATTCGTGGCATGGGAAATTTCACAGCCTTCGGCCGTCTATATTCAACGATGTCAGGTTTCTTGATACCCGAGAGTGGACGTCACTTTACTAGAAGGCTTTACGTAATGTGTGTACCCTCTAGCCACTTCACAAGAAGAAACCGTAACACAAACCTTCATCATGAATTCCGAATCCAAAAGACTAAGAAGTCCCGTGTATGCGAACTTATGACATAGAAACAGACGATTAATGGTGATGTTCCAGGGGAGACCCGACATTTGATCCTGTGACATAAAAAAATAAATGAAACCAAATCTTCAAGGGGAAAAACATACGAAATTTAGCTTTGTTTAAAAGTCATGACAAACGTGACATCTGGATTCTTCCATTGATAATTATTTAGGTCACAATCATGTGTAATACTACATCGAGCATTAGGATAGAAAGATGGACCTTTTTTTCTTGTCAAGAATCAGAGTGGTCTTTAGAATTTGAAGTCGTGATCAAAATATATGTGAGCAAGGACTTCTTTTC